CTTAACTTTTAATTAACAAAAATACCTGATATACGACTCCAAATGAACCAGTGCCCACTACACGTTCCGCCATGAAGGACATTGCCTAAAGTAAAAAATGACAGGAAATTTAGGAGCCATGTTGCAAAAATTGATCTTTTTCAAGAACTAGTTTGATTTATAGAAAGACACCAAATGAAGGTGAAGTTCGACGATTACAAGTTTCAAGGTGGAAACTGACATTAAGAACATCACCTGTTTCGGCTGTCCATTTCGCGCATCAACTGAAATCACAGTAATCTGACCAGTTTCTGTTCCATTGCCACTAACAACAGTGGGCTCCAGATCCTGGTATAGTAAAACCCAAATCAACAAAATTTAACTAACTTTTCCCAAAACATTTAACACGAAAAAAAAAAAAGATAAAGACAAAGCCAACTAAAGAAATAAAGGAAAGATACACGTATAAATTCAGACCTTGACATTCTCCTCTCCGTTAGCATTTTTACCATCTCTGATCTTCATTTCGGGCATATCTTTGGGTAGCTCTTTGTGGTCCGTGTTCTCGGGCTTTTTACCATTTACAGCATTGGAGGATGTGCTTGCGGTTATTTCCGACGAGTTAAATACCGTAAGCTCCTTTGGAGCTTTTGAACTTTTTTCTCCTACCTCTACTTTGTGCAAGTCTCTTCGATTCGATTCATGCTCCATTTTTGACTTGCTAGTGCTTAAATCCCCACCCTAAAGCAAAAAATCAAATCAATCAAAACTTACAGTGTCTCTAACAAATGTGATTAATAATCATAGTTGGTGGCATTGCCATATAGACGCTACACGTTGAATATGATAGGAGAATAGTGCTCGGTGAGGATGATTGGAAAAGAAATATATGTGTATAAAAAGCAAATCAGAAGCACGTACACTCCCTCTCGTTTCAATTTTGATCAGAGCAAAAAACTCGTCATTCAAACACTTATAATTTGGCATTTTTCTTTTTCCACTATTCCAAAGCAAGCAATCGATTCTTTTCCACTTTTTTGGCATTCTTGAACACTTTGTTTATCTATCTAAATCATCGAGCTTTATTGGAGCAATCGAAAACGAATGAAAAATTTCATCCCGTTCAATCAAGCGTAAATATGATAGTTCATTGCTACACAAAAATCTCATGGCATTGCATATATACACACACATACACACACACACACATCAAATAGGTGCCAATTCAAAATTTTAAAACGGGTCATTTATCGCCATTTTTAGCAGAAACATGTCACCATCACACACATCTACAGGATTGAATTACAAACACTAACCCTTAAATTTCAACCTAAATGCAAACATTAATTGCAGATTACAAATGCCCCCTTAACAAATAACTGCATATAAACAATTTCACCAAAAAATTTGATCTTTTTCTCAATTTATTTAAGTGCGTATAATTGAAATTTACATAATACATTACATAAATATATTCTCCAAAACAATTTTCACCAAGTAGATGCGTTCAAGTATCCCCAAGACAAGAGCCCATGAACATAAACATCAAAAAAGGACACAATTTTGAGGAAAATTACAGGATCTGAGACGGAAGCCCGACCAGAAGCAATGCTCTTCAGACGACGCATCATATCCAAATCGAAATCCGAGAAAACAAAAAAAGAAATAGAAAAGAAAATGCGTCCTCTCTCTCTCTCTCTCTCTCTCTCTCTCTCTCTTTTCTGCGTTGACAGCAGAAAAAGAGGAGAGAGAAATTGAGGAAAAACGGTAATGGAAAGAGGTGGAAATGAAAGAGAAAAAGATGAGAAATTATAAGGAAAAGCAAAGTTTGGAGGAAAAAGCTTTTCCTTGAATTTGAAACAAGAAGTTTTATTTTTATTTATTTATTATTATTTTTTTAATTATAAACGAGTCAAAGCTTCAAATGTAATCATTAACCATTCCGACCATATTTCCAATTTTCTTGATTTCTGTACTTGCGGGCCGCTTTGCCTTCGGATCGGTGGGCCCTTTAATA